ACAAACCGGGCGTAGTTAATTCAACAACACCGTTAGGGTCATTGATCTTGGTTTCGTACACAACACACGTCAATACCCAGCGTGTCTAACGTGCGTACGAGTGCAGCCTGTTTACCTATTTGTCCTAGAATGCGAAGGTTGAACGCCTCCAGGGAGACTGGACAGCGTGGCCTTATAAGGAGTTGTTGGCGATTAGCGTCCAGTGGATGGTGCGGGTAGGTAGCTGCAGCTGGTTCGACTCCAGTGGCATTACGGCTGTTCTCAATTAAGCTGGGAAGTATAGTCAAGTCAAGTCAAAGTAAGCTTTATGCATCCAGATGATTACATTTTCAGCACTTTACAATATCGACAACGGATGAGCTAAAATTACATTATCAGAACTAAATTTGTAAAGGGAGGTTAGTAATAAGGAACAAGTGACCGAATGCAAACAATTGTTTTCGATGAATTCTTCGTCAGACCTTTACAATCATATGGGTAAAGAACAATGGGAGTAACAGTGGTTTTGATCAGTTCAAATGAAATTGGATCACGTGACAGCCGGGGGTATAAACCAGCAATAAACGTAAACGATAAGCGCAAACTAGGGCAAAGGTGTAGTCCAATGATTGCTTCTGGTCTCCAAATCGTCCATCTTATCTGGCCAGGGTAACTTAAGAGCTTCGATCAATTCCTTTTGTGAACACAAAAGCGGTTGATACAACCGAATACTGATCGCCTCAGCTGTAGCGAGGGTGCGGAGGCGCAAGCCTTTCGACTGGAGTGGCGGAACCTTGTAGAGTATTCGAAAGGCGCGGACTGGATCGACTTCATGCCCACTATCAAGTAGATGAACCACAACAGAGCTAGTTATAGCCCCGGTACCGCCTCGACGCAACCAGCGTGGAAGGTGCTCATTAATGCGCTTTGACAAGTGCCGTACCGTTCGACCGATGTAAGTAGCGCCACAGGCGCACTCGAACTGATAAATGACCATAGAAGTGGTGAGCATCGACAACTTGTCTTTGTTGCAAATGCGAATGAGGGGTTCCGTTGAGAAAGTGCACTTGAGCTTAGCAGCTGAAAAAGTTGACTTAACGGCTGTAGAAAGGCTTCTGGCTACACGTTCGGCGGCTGCGTCTCCTTTGTTTACCTTCAGTCCCTTGTTCTTGATGATTAAATGGGAATTTTCCGGTTAGTAATAAGGGTTGGGAGAAGAATAATAGAAACTGGTGGAAAGGAGGCGCCAGCAGTAGCATGTTTCTGCTTAACCACCCTGCTGAATGCAGCAGAAAAGGCGACCTTAATGAGCTGCGCGACGGTCGATGCAGGACGTGGTTGAATTTTGAAGAAGTAGTTATGGTTGTACGTAGGCTGAGATACTGCCAGACCTAGAGAGAAGAACAATTAGGATCCTCAACCAAAGCATCTGGTTCAAAAGCCTGTCCACAAGGCAGCGAATGTGGCAGCGGTTCGGTCTCAGAGAAATGGACGGCATCACATTTCCACCCCCAACTTGGAGGACCAGGAGACTATGTTCATCTGACTTCTAACCATTGAGTAATCTGGAAGAAGTAGATCTTAAGGTGCCCAACCCAGTACAGCTCAATGAATCGACGCAGTACGCAAACTGTCACACCACCTTAAGGTCCAATCTCGAGAGAATAGTGCATTTCAAGCACTTAACGCTGTGCCCGGAGCCAAACGCACCTCGAACTAAACCACTATCCTGGAATGGGCAGCCAGAGAGTATTGTCTGCTCTATCTACCCGGTCGAAAAACTCCCTTTTCTTCTTCTCTATTCTCCCGGTTCTTCCACGTCCATTGGGCATGAGACTGCCGTTGACTTCACAGCTACTGCCAAAGATACATGCAGCACATCCCCCAAGTCTAGAGTTTCACTTCACATTGGTTCCTTTTAACGTTCGCACTCTGGGATACAGTGACCCACCGACAGCACTTATTCTCACTCTTCACTCTGTTGGTATTGATGTGTGCTGTGTTACCGAAACCCGCATACAAGATAACAGCTTCGTGACAAATCTTCGACTCCTTGGTTCTGACGACGATGGCTAAACTTTTCGCGTCTCTGGTGATACTGAGTCAATGGGCTCAAGGTATTTACGGTGTTGGTATTGCCTTAGCATATTTGGTGAGGGTAATCTGCTCGACTGGATACTGGTGAACAGTCGCACGAATGAGGTTCGGCTTCGAACCTCTAATGGAGTCAATAAGCAACCTATGAAGAGAAAGTGCCTCTTCATCGCCCGTTCATGCTCCTGCTGAATGCAGTTCAGAGGGTAACAGAGATGATATCTATCAACAGACCTCATCATTTTCCTGCACGGCGAAAAACACCGACAACATGATTGTTGCAGGTGATATAAATGCCCAAGTGGGTCGTCTATCAGACGCTAAACAGCAGCTGGAAGGTTGATTCCGAGTCGATGCACACCGAACAGGCAATGATGATCGATTCAAGCGATTGTGCGCCAACCACAACCTTTACATTAGGGGTACTGTTTTCCAGCACAAAGGTTCACACCGCGTCACCTGACGCTCACCGAATTTCTCAATGACCTGGACCCAGATTGACCATATTAACACCACACACACATATCAATCCAAGACTGCCGGTCAATTTGGAGCAGGTGGCTGGAGTCCGATCATAAAGTAACGCGCACACGCTTGGCGCTCGCTCTTCCCGCTTCAAAGAATCACCTACCTTCTCACCTATAACTCGAACTCGCAGTCTGCAGTTCAAAAATATCATGACGAACTGGCCTACCAATTGTCAGTGAGGAGTGGAGTTGGGCAGCTGAAGGCTGACTGGGATGGACTCAAATTTGCCATGAATTATGAGTTTGACGCCTGCCGTAGAGCCAACTTGTGATGACGCAAATGTGAATGGGTCTCTGAGGTATCGATCAGCTTGATCGAAGCATGGAAACTAATTCCGATGAGCACTGAGTTTCAGCGTGTAAGTAACTCCCTGAAACGGACAAGGTGTCTTCGAGTCGAGCGGGAACGTTGGTGGATGACAAGAGCCCGTGAAATGGAGAAAGTCAGTGCTATTGGGAACATCTGAGTGCCATTCCAGCCTATCCGGAACAGCGGTTCGAGAAAACTGTCAGTTAGCGAAACGATACCTGAGAAAGATAGACAGTTGATCCATTCTCAGCCACTTTGACTATGCCGTTGGGCGAAACACTTTGAAGAGCAGTTCAGCAGGACTACTGCGACACAGCCGCTTGCCGAATCACCTGAGCGGACGCGGGAAATAGATGTCACACCCACTTTGGAAGAGATTCGACATGAGCTTTCCGTGTTGAAACGAAATAAGGCTCATGGGCACGACGACCTCCCTCCATCTTGGAGGTAACTGCTTGTTGACTGGATTCACTTATCTTTTAACACGATTTGAAACACTGAAGAGGTGCCTTCAGACTGGCGACTGTCAACTTGGAGAAATATCAACAAATTTGTGCGATAATCATCAAGGTACTAGCCTTGTTTCCGTTGCCTCCAAACCTCTTATCCGTATAATACTTTGAGGACTTACTGGTCCCCGGGAGAACCGAATCACTGAAAGCCAAGCTAGCTTCCGCCCTGGTCGTGGTGGTACCGACCAGATATTTACTCTTCGCCAAGTATTAGGGCAGAGGCCCACATATGAACGATCGGCTATGGTGGCCTTCCTTGACTTAAAAGCCGCCTTCGAATCTGTTGACCGCACCAGCTTGTAGCATTGCCTATCCATGAAGGGTGGGCCCGCTAAATTCCTTTCCATTATGCAGTCTCTCCACCGTGACTACTGAGGCCATGAAAGGGTCTACGAGAAACTACCACTTGGGTTCCCCACGACAAATGGGATTCGCCAGGGTTGTCCTATACCTCCTTTCCTATTCAATTTTGTTATCGGAATGATTATGATTGACTCCGTTCTTTCAGACTTTACCGGAGTGGAATTTTTGCCAGATGACCGACTGAAGAAACTGGAGTATGCGGACGACATAGCTCTTCTTGAGTCTGACGCAGTGTCTATGAAAAAACCACTGGATAGACTGACGCGTAGCGCTGCACGCTTCGGCATGTGCTTTGCACATTCAAAGGCAAAGTACTGCTGCAGGACTGGACGGACACAGCTCCAGTTCTATCTATCACGGAAAGTTACTTCGCTTATCAGCAAGGCCCGTGTGGATTACTGGAGACTCAAGCGTTTATAGAGACGGCGGGATAGCACTCTGTCAGTGAAAGTTAGGGTGTATAATGCCGCAGTGAGGCCTGTCTGACTGTATGGATCAGAGACCTGGTCACTTCGAGGTGAAGACATTAAACATTTGACCGTGTTTGACCATCGGTTGATCAGTGCTGAGATCCGCCACTTGGTTTTTGGCAAGAATCCTTTTGATTCCTCGCTAGAGTATTTAATGAATCTTAACCACTTACGTTGGCTAGGACATGTCCTCCGTATGCCCATTGACCGGCTTACTCGGTGTGCATCATACGCCATGGCTGCACCAAGTTGGGACAAACCGCATGGTGGGCAGTCCATGACATGGCATAGACGCATGAAGAAACCGACCGACCGACTTGGTTAGGCTGATGCGTGCCGTATTCGTGGACGGGGGCCTCGGGATGGTCCGCACAATTGGTTGGAGGCGGTATCAAGACATGGTGCAGTCACGCAGTCAGTGGCGTTCCTACATTCTTGCATATGGTTGTTAATTTGCGTTCCATCAGTTTAACGTACTTCATTCTTGCTTTCATTTACTTTGCAATGCTATTGAATTTAACCCCACTGTTTTGACATTGTTATTTATTGTTATTCATGCGATATGAGTTGTGGCAACTGGATCCACCGCACTTCGGCGCACGGATCATAGTTGCTCAACCGAACTGAACCCGTAACAAGTTGGAACAGGAAAAAACGTACGATGATTATTATAAGTCAAAACGCAAGAGACAAGCCAAAAGCTGCAGACAAAATATAGAGACAAGCTGAAAAAAGTCAAACGTACCTCTACCTTCTTTAGTTGCGGATTCATAGCTGTAGGTACTGTACAGGCTGCAGAGGCTGCAACACCGGAAGCAGGAAGGACTAATGCACCGACTCCTAACATAGAGGTGGCCAAGCCATCGAACACAGACAAGTTTTCAGCATTCGGGCTTACTGCGGAAGGAATGCCTAGGTCAACTGTATCCAACGTGCCAACATTGCCACCGACAACAGGCAAGTTCTCATCAATGGTGGCCAGCATACATGGTGAGCCTACATCGAGTAAGCCGGGACAGGCCGAGCCGGGTGAGCCAGATACGGAGGCAGCCTGACTAGCGGCTACCTGGGCAGGTTGCAATGCGATTCCTGGTTGATTTTCTGAATTCTGGTTACTCGTAAAAGCCACACCAGCTTGCTCGTGAGGGAAATCGCCGGCATTTTTTGTAAATGCATCAGAGAAATTGGTAACACAATTGGCGATTCCGTTGGGCTCAGGAAGTCCGGGGTGCAATTCAGTGTCCCCAGTTTGTGAGGGAATATGTGCATCCAAAGCAGTGTGACCAGGGCCGAACTCAAACATTGGATTCGCAGCATACGGGTGGTGTGCCTCGAGAACTATCGTACGACATTCTTTTAGCGAAAGTCGTCGGAGAGGACAAGATAGAAGACAAGCCAAAAATAGACATCCAGCGGCGAAATAAAACCCCATGGACGTTGCATGGTGAACGGGGCAAACATGAACTGCCAACATATCATGCGGTAGGTGTTTGCTCAGCTGAAGTTCGCGTAGATAACCTGAAAAGAAAGTGGATTGGAAGAAAAACTGTCTTCGTTAATATAGGGTGCAAAATGATATTAATCATTGCAGAGCAGTTAAAATGTGATGGTACCTTATATACTCTGTGGAATCAGGTCAAAGCAATTGAATAGCTTTCCATTCTCCAAACTGTGACATGGCAAGCACTAATAGAATAACGAAAGAATGCAAAAGGCAACAGTACAAATCCTCGGATAGGAAAGTCAGAAGAAAGATTCAAGCCATCGATTGACTTGGCGACTGTATCAGGTTGGAAAAGGTCAACAACCAATAGTGTCGTTGCTTCTGAGAATCATGATGGCGGAAAGATTTCCCTCGATGTGCAAAATGAAAGATCGAGATGATTCTCCGATTGAAAGCCTACATGTGTAACTAAATCAAACTACTATAGTAGTAATAGTAATGGTAACAAGATTGAAATGATATCTCCAGTTATCGCGCGAGGGTAGGATGTGGTTGAGTGATTGACAGGCAGGAGGTTAACTGATGAAATGCTATACTGGAAGATACCCTGTGAAAACATCACATAACCGATGAAGTCATCCGAAGTAGTAGTCCGGAAATGACCATTCGAAGTTAGGGCATGGAAAAAAGCGAACAGGCAAATCTCGAACAAAAAGAATAGCAACAGTCGGTGGAAGATGCCAAGGCCACTAATGATCGATCAATGTAAAACGGGACTTCTGGAATAAGTGCGACAGAAGGCGGTATCATTTTCACGGTATTTAGACAGGCACCAAGCATGAATCCGACATAGAAGCGGCTCAATGACACCCGACAGAAAAATATCCGCGTTGATCCCATTGTAGTGGCCAACTTGCGTCTAACGCTTGAGCGCATAAGCTACGGTAACCCGGACGGTACAACGGCGCGGAAAACAACTCATGCTGAGCAAAGCAACACTCAAGCAGGGCATTTGGCAGCGATGCTTGGACAAATACAAGCTGGAATTAAATCGATAAACTAAGAGAAGCGTCAGTGTGATGAAAGGCGTAACGCTTGAAGGAGCAATTTCTGGAGTACCGTGGAGATTTTTGAGTATCACACGCGTGAGAAAAACAAGCAACCAAAGTGAACTTACCGGCGAATGGAGTTCCTACAGCCGCCGCTATCCCTTGCATCAGGAGCATATACCCAAAAGAGTTGGTGAGTCTATCCAAACCTAGCAGTTCCACCACTAGAATGCTCTTCAAGGAGACAAATACGGCTGTATACGGGAAAAAGAGATAAATGGAAAGACATAAATGGCAGAATTGATGAATGATGCACACCCGCGCCGAGCCAAGGTCAAATTAGCGTATCTCAAAAGGACAAGTTGAGTTAAAACAAGATATAATAAAGTTGAGATAAATTTCAAATTAGATAGTGACAGGTCACCGCGGTTTTGATGAATAGGACGAAAAGCAAACAATATGTGATGACATGGTGTAAAATCCCAAAGCCAAGCGGGGAGATGTGGCACCCAGTGTCTAGCAAGCTTCAACCTAACGAAGTTAACCAGTTGATGCATAGGCACTTAATTCCTGGGTTCGTTAACTTACGGATGACAAAGACTACAATCTTTGTAACATCATGGTACATCATCTTGGTTATTAGCTAAATAGAAATACTACGACTAAACTTCGTAGTGTAGCCCACACAAACATTCTTCGCTCTTTTATTCCAGCATGAAGATTAAGACACAACCACGTACACTCGGGCAAAATTCACTGCAGTGAAGATTTCAGATACAGAGAGGATTAACATCTCGGCGAATAGAAGCAGCGGCAGTCGTAAATGCGCAATAGCACTCTGTCGGCCCGTAGCCTAGAGGTAAGGAGCTCGACTCGTAACCTTGCGGCGCGAGTTCGAACCGGTGTAGGGATGGGCCTCCTCGCGGTATACTCAGCGTGCGTGCGACTGGTGGTGGTCACATGGCAGCGAAACACCGTTACGGCGTACAGTTGACACATTATTGTTTTTACTCTGGATACTTGGTCAGACCTATCATGGGCTGACTGAACCTGTGGTAGTATAAACATAAGTCCTCCATAGTTGTCACACTGTTACTCCCCACATTCGAGCTGACCGTCTTCTTAGCTGCAGCTGCTGCATCTGGTCCCACCAACCGAATTAGTGCAGATCAGCTACATTCAACGTCATCGTAGTGTAAGTCACGTCCGTTAATGGACCATAGGTCTGTCGACTTCCATAGTATCACTTGCGTACCCAGTAAACCAGAAGATACATTGTGAAACGACTGCTCTGTCCTAGAAACCGAGTACGTTGCCCGGATTCGATCTAGCAACCTGTAATGGGAAACAAACTTGCCCCCAGTGAACAAATGAACGAAAATACAGATTTCCAATTCCTGACAAGGTCTAACCAATAACGGCGAACAGACAGCAACTTTTAGCTTCTATCAGCACGAGCTGGATACAATAAACCGCATGGCGTGTGGACATAGGCGTTAATATCTTATGAATCCAAACGGGTCACCTCCAACGAGAGTCAGTTAGCTAAGCAGTGTGAATGAAGGAAGAAAGCTTTTCAGTATGTTTACACTTCGTAACGTTATCCGTGGCCACACGAACTTTATGCATTTTAAAATCTTAGACACATAGTTAAGAGAAAGCGGACTGCTTAGGTCCAACAGCTAATCCAAGGAGTCATCTCTTTAGGTTGACAGGCCCGAACGATGGGTTAATAAAACACTGTAGGTTTCGTGAAATGTAACTGCTGTACTGGGTTGTCACCATTCATTGATCTGATGTCCGCCCTAATAACGTGGTACGCGAACCATACTATTAGCACCAGAGGTTGCTTCTTTACACAAATAGGACACCAAGGAAGAAGTTTGTGTTATTCACTGCATGCACTATTTTAGTGACTTTAGGCACCGATGTGCCGGTCGCACGCATCGGAGAATCACTTTAGAAATTGGCAGACTGGGTTTACTTAGCATATATTTCACCACATTCGAGTGGCCCTGAAAATGCACTGCTTAGAAATGCGAACAATTGTGCATCCACATTATCTAGTCAATCTAGAGCAGAAGGTGGCAACTTTAATTTGTAGAACGACCCATGCCTCAAACATAAAGTCACTGGTGTGTGGCAAGCTTTGGAAATATGAACAAGAGAATGGCTGCGGTACAAGGTAACACCACTTGAAAATGCAAAAAAACAATAGTTTCTGTATTCACTGCTGGATCCTTCGTTACTATTACCAGGTACATTAGGTTGACTTTCCGATAGTGAGCACGGTGTCGCTAGAAATTACGCCGAATACTCTAAAAAGACAAGCGTTTGATTCTAGTATAAAGTTCTTTATCCTCGCATCTGAAAAGGTACTATCGATATTTTGAGATAACATAAACTAGTGCGTTGATACGTTTACCATCCTCTTGGCTAATACAACAGACAAGTCGAAATTTAATGAAAGATATAAACGTAAGGCAATAGTTCAAGCGAATTGGAAATGCACATCCTCCTTTTCCTCCTCCTCATCATCAACAGCATTACGTCAGTTATTTGGACTGATGTTTCGTTGCCGTACAACCACAGTGACCTAAGAAAAGAAGAATCGTAAAGTGGGAAAAGAGGGATCTAGCATAACACCTTAGTGCTCTAAGCAAACATTCAGAGTCAAGACGCCTACAATATGCCATCACAAACAGTTAGCGCTCGTGCAAAGATAAGGCGGCATCCGCTAGACAGCTTTCTTGCGGCTTTCACTGCCCCGCGTCATAATCAGACATTACTCCGCATAAAACACACTTTAAACGGGCAGTCTGACAAGGAGATGACAGCAGACGTGCCACTATTGCCGACTACGAGCCATGTCGTCCAACATCTTAAGCCAAGCACATGGGGGGTCAAGTGGACGCCAGCCTGACAGGCGAGACGAAGCAACAGCACCAGTGACTTCATTTCCGGCTACCAAGTCAAATGTTGCCCACCTCGAGCCTTGAGTCATACTACATCTGGAAAACAAAACAAAATCCTCTTCGGTAAGCAGTGACCGGGTATGCCAAAGCCAAAGCCAACGCAACTTATTCAGTGGTATATGTTGTTCTAAGTAACTAGCATGATTATCACTGCCCAGTACTCGCTTATGCACATTATCGTTGCGGAATCGCTGGTGCCAGTCGACACCAGCAATGCTCCGCAGGCAGCGATGATTGAAGACTTGTAGGCGCTTCAGATTCTTAGACCAAAGGGTCCAGATATCACTCACATAGAGAAGCACGGCGGTCACTGTGGCCTTATAAGCGCAGTCTATCACACCGAGGAAAACTCCGTTCTGACGCCACGGATGTCGCAGATGTAAGAATATAGTTCTAACTTTTGCAATGCGTTAACTGACTTCAGTTGCTATGCGTCTATCATTGCTGATGTAGCTGCCAAGGTAAGTGAAAGGATCAACCACCTCGAGTTCATTACTAAGGGTTAAGGGGTCGTCAAGTGGCTGAATGTCCTGCAATAACACCTAGAACTTTGAAGGTGCGAAGCGCATGTCAAATGATGGGACCACTCTAGAGATTATGGAGGGTTGCTTGGCCGCCCCAACATCGTTAAACAGCAACACACTATCACCCACAGTTTCTATCAGTGGATAGATATATTTAATCCAACGTGGAGATACAAGAACACTTCTCATCAAGAAGGAAGAAACTGACACTCCGAATAGTGTTCAACTTGCTATGGCGACCAGCCGAAAACATCCCCAACATTTGCTGCTGTGAGTAATGTCCCTATGCATGAACTCGTCCATGGCGACCACTTTTTGTCGGTCTATTGGGTGGTCGCTTTAGACGGGTTTGACTGTAATAAGAAATCAGAAAAGTGGAGTAGAATGCAAAAGTTTATTTATTTATTTAGTGCTTCATCACGCCTGCGCTAATGTGCTAGAAGCGTGCAAGTCTTGTTTGTAGGCGTTTTTACGTTATGAACGACAATGAATCCAACGAAGTAATACACCTGTTAATGGTCCAATCAATACCGAAAATATTTAGCACGAGCATGGAGCATTCGAGCCAATTGTTTATCCTGATCCAAGGAGAATATTGATATGGAAAATTCTAATACTTTGCACTTAAGCGGATGTTACATCAATAACATCTGATCTCCACCCAGCTAAACGGAAAGTGGCGCTGGTAATATTACGACACGAACTCGGGTCAAAATAGGATTAGGAGACGCCGGTCCTTAGAGTAAGTGTACTTAAGTCTCAGAGTTATGGAACGTAGTATAAAGTCCGAAATGATTTTCCAGGAAATAGAACAACCTTTAATTTTCAAGTCACACGGATTTCTTTAAAAACATTCGACTGCTACTTGTGGATTCCATCTCGCGGGCCTACGAAATCGACTGGTTCCGGTAGCGCTTGTTATCCACCTGCGGTCGTAAAAACATCCGACAGGTCTCCATAGAAAAGATTCATTCAGAAACCTCAGTACAGAAGTAGCCAGGGCACACTTGGGCAAACTCTATCTCACTGTTTGCAAGCAAATAGTTCGGATTAGTGACCATTCACCAGAGGCAAGAGATGTCACAAGTGCATCACAGAGTGACCTCGACTCGCATCCGCAACTAGTGCAAGTGGCCGTATTTCGCAAACAGGAACGACAGATCACAGCTACTTGCAAACAGTGAAGGAATACTGTATAACACAGTATTAAAACAATGGACGATGATTGCAGAAAGTAAAAGTGGTCCAGAATCTTCGGAAGACTGGTGTTACAGTTTCGTTAACGCACATAGCCCTATGTTATGGATACAGGGCTCAGTTATGAGCTATGGCCTTGAATGATGTTATTTTTCCCACAGATGATATAAACAGTAGTTTGCATCGTCTTCTGAATGATCTCAGGACCTCAAGCAAGGTCAGTAGTGCGCGCTGGCTTCTAACAGTCAACGCGTTTAATGAAAACGGAAAAATGATGTGGAATGCATAATAATCTTCTTAGGTTTAGCTTAGTATGAGTTTGGCATTCATCTACGTAATCAAGTGAATGCATTGATGAAAATTGGTCAGACAACCGTCAGTGAAGATCCCCTCCTAGTACTCGAAGTTTGTATTTTAACTGCATATCACCTTTCCCTTATCCATAAAAATGAGTTTTTATCAAATTGGGGTGCATACTACGCTAAATTTCATACCACCTAAGTTACCGAATGTGATCATTCAATAAACACGCTAGCTGGAGTACCGCAATATACAAGA